GTGTAACTATCATGTAGACTCACACCAATTTTTCAAGATCATTTGTGCATCTACAAGAACTCTTTTAGGAATCGCGCAAATTTCTCAATTTTTCGTGTGTATTAGCCCATGGACTTGGCTCCCGGAGCACCAAATAATCTTTTCTAAAATAATTGTGAGGACTTTCGTATTGAGTTGGAGAACCATTAGGTATATATACTCATATCTTCACGATCATTTTCGCATCTACATGCGCTTTTTAGAAATTAGCCAAATTTCTCAATGTTTCGTGTGTATTAGCACATGAATATGACATCAACAGCACCAAATATTTTTTCCACACTCATTTTAGCATCCAAATTCCCTTTTTGGTAATCGCGCAAATTTCTAAATTTTTTTATGTATCAACCCAAGGATCTGGTGCCCGAAGTATCGAAAATATTTTTCTCAAGTCATCACGTATAGTAACACCATTTTTTCACGTCCACTTATGTATCTACATGATCTTTTTTAGGAATCGCAAAATTTCTCAATTTTTCATGTGTATTAACCAATAAATTTATCGTCTGGAGCACCAAAAATTATTTTCTCAAAACATTATGATTACCCCTGTATTGCGTTTGGGAAACCTTCACTACTTACACCATTTGTTCACGCTCATTTTTGCATTTGCAAGCCTTTTTTTAGGAATCACGCGAATTTCTTAATTTTTCGTGTGTGTTAGCCCATGAATCTGAGCTCAGAGCACCAAAAATAATTTTCTCAAAAAAAATTATGAGGACCTCTGTATTGAGTTAGGAAAACTCTTACGTGTGCTCACAATTGTTTTCACTCCCACTTTCACATCTACTAACCATTTTTTTAGGAATCGCGCAAATTACTCGCTTTTTCGTATGCATTAGCCCATGAATCTGACGTCCAGAAGATCCAAAAAAATTTCTCAAAAACTTTGTGAAGACCTCCGTATTGATTAAGGGAACCATCACGTATACCTACACTATTTTTTTGATGCCCACTTATGCATCTATAGGCCCTTTTTTAGGAATCTCACAAATTCCTCAATTTTCATGTTTATTAGCCCAATAATCTGGCGCTCGAAGCATCTAATTTTTTTTCTCAAAACACTTTTTGAGGACATTCGTATTTAGATGGGGAACCTTTACTCACTACATTTTTTGCATGTTCACTTGCGCATCCATAGACCATTTATTTTTTAAACACACAAACTTCTCAATTTTTTGTATGTACTAGCAAGAGAATTTGGCGCCCTTCGAACCCAAAATATTTATGCGACCTCCGTAATGAGTTGGGGAACCATCACATATACTCGTACCATTTTTTCACGTTCATTTCATCTTTAGACCCTACTTAAGGAATCACGCAAATTTCTTAATTTTCTATGTGTATTTACATCATTGATCTGGTGTCCGAATCACCCAAAAAAAATTACCAAAAACTTTATGAGAGTTACTGTATAGAGTCGGTAAACCAAAACGTATACTAACATTTTTCAGGCCTATTTCCTCAACTATAGGCTCTTTTTTAGGAATCGCGCAAGTTCCTCGATTATTGTTATGTATTATTCTATGGATTTAGCGCCCGGATCACCTAAATATTTTTCTCAAAAACTTTATGAACCTCTGTAGAGAATTGAGAAATCACCACATATGCTCACACCTTTTTCACACTCATTTCCGCTTCTACAACTCATTAAAATCGCGTAAATTTCTTAATTTTTTGTGTGTATTAACCCATGGATCTGGTGCCCAGAGCATCCATAATTTTTTTCCTCAAAAGACTAGATAAGAATATCCTAGTGAGTTGGGGAACCTTCACCTATACTCACACCATTTTATTCACTTTTGCATTTACATGCTCTTTTCTAGGGATTGCGGAAGTTCCTCAATTTTTCATGTGTATTAACCCATTGATCTGGCGTCCGAAGCGCCCAAAATATTTTTTACAAAAAACTTTATGAGAATTTCTGCATTGAGTTGAGGAACCATAACATATACTCAGACCTTTTTTTAAAGCTCACTTCCAAATCTATAAACCTTTTTTAGGATTATCGCAAATTCCTCAATTTTTCTTGTGTTAAGCACATTGATCTGGCGCCCAGAACATTCAAAAAAAATTCTCAAAAAATTTTATGAGGAACTCCTTATTGAGTTGGAGAATCATTACGTGTACTCAGACTATTTTTTTCACGTCCATCGCATCTACAAACCCTTTTTAGGAATCAGACAAATTCCTCAATATTTTATGTGTATTAGCCTATGGATTTGGTGCTAAAAGCCCCCTAAAAAAAATATCAAAAACTTTATAAGGACCTCCGTATTGAGTTGGGGAACCATCACGTATACTCACACAACTTTTTTCACACTCAAAAAATGTGCAAATTTCTCAACTTTTCTTGTGTATAGCCTATATATCTGGCGCCCGACGTACCCAAAAAAATGTCTCAAAAAACTTTACTAGGACCTTGGTATATAATTGTGAAACCTTCTTGTATACTCACGTCATTTTTCATGTCCATTTTCACATCTTCAAGCTCATTTGTAGGAATCGAGCGAATTCTTAGTTTTTTGTGTGTATTAGCACATGAATTTGGTGTCCATAATACCCAAATTTATTTTATTAAAATAATTTATGAGAACCTCTGTATTTAGTTGGGGAACAATCACGTATACTAACAAAAAAATTCATGCCTATTTTTGTATCTATAGGCCATTTCTTAGTAATCACGTAAATTTCTCAATTTTTCATTAGTAATCACGTAAATTTCTCAATTTTTCTTAGTAATCACGTAAGAACAACCACGTATGCTCACACATTTATTTTCAAGCCCATTTTCGTACCTTGGTTCCATTTTTAGGAATCGTGCAAATTTCTTGATTTTTCATGTGTATTAGCCCATGGATCTAGCGCCTAGAGCACCAAAAAGAAATTTCTCAAAAAACTTTATGAGGACATGCGAATTGAGTTGGGAAAACCTTCACGTATACTTACATTTTTTCACGCTTATTTTCGTATCTATAAGCCATTTTTTATGAATAACGCAAATTCCTCAATTTTGTGTATATATGAATCTGGCGCTCAGAGCACCAAAATCATTTTCTCAAACCACTTTATGAGGACCTCCATATTTAGGTGGGGAACCATCATGTATAGTCACCGCATTTTTTTACGTTCATTTTTTATTAAGAAAACCTTTTTTAGGAATCCCACAAATTCCTCAATTTTTTATATGTATTAACCCATGGATCTGGTGTCGGAACACTCAAGCATTTTTTCTAAAAAAGCTTTATGAGTACCTCTGTATTGAGTTGGGTAGTCATCACCTATACTAACACCATTTTTTCACGCTCACTTCCGCATCTATAACCCTTAATTTAGGAATCGCGTAAATTCCTCAATTTTTCATGTGTATTAGCCCATTGATCTAGCGCCTGGAGCATCCAAAAAAAAATCTCAAAAAGCTTTATGAGGACCTCTGGATTAAGTTAGGAAACTATCAGGTGTACTCAAATCATTTTTTTAGGCTCATTTTGCATCCACGTGCCCTTTTTCAATAATTGCGCAAATTCCTCAATTTTTCGTGTGTATTAACCTATGAATCTGGCCCCCAGAGCACCCAAAAAAATTTCTCAAGAAACTTTGCGATAACTTCTATATTGAGTTGGGGAACCATCACGTATACGCATACCATTTTTTTCACGCTCATACCCATATCTACAAGACATTTTTTTGCAAATTCCTCAGTTTTCATGTGTATGGATTTGGCACCCAAGCACCCAAATTTTTTCTCAAAAAACGTTATGATGAACTTCGTATTGAGTTGGAAAACCTTCTCGTATACTTACACCATTTTTCACGCTTATTTACGCATCTACAGGCTCATTTTTAAGAATCGAACAAAATCCTAAATCTTTCATGTGTATTAGCACATGAATCTGGTATCCAAACAAATTCTCAAAAATTATTATGAGGACCTCTGTAATGAGTTAGGGAACCATCACCAATACTCACGCATTTTTCAGGCTCTTTTGTAAGAATCGCGCAAATTCCCTAATTCTTCGTGTGTACTAACTCATGGATCTGGCGCCCGGAGTATTCAAAAAAAATCTCAAAAAACTTTATGAGGACCTCCATTTTGAGTTGAGAAACTATTATATATACTCACCCCATTTTTTCACCCCCATTTCCGCATCTATGGGCCCTTTTTTAGGAATCAGAAAAATTATTCAATTTTTCCTGTGCATTAGCCCATAGATCTAGCACCAAAGCACCCTTGAAAAATTCTCAAAAAGCTTTATGAGGACCTCCATATTGAGTTGGGAACCATCATGAATACTCACATCATTTTTTATGCTCATTTTTGCATCTATAGGCCCATATTTAGGAATAGCGCGAAGTCTTCATTTTTTTCGTGTGAATCTGGCGCCCAAAGCATCTAGAAAAAAAATTTCTCCAAAAACTTTATGAGGACCTCTGTATTGAGTTGGGAAACCATCACAAATACTTACACTATTTTTTCGCGTCCATTGTCGCATCTACATGGCCTTTTTTAGTACTCACTCAAATCACTCAATTTTTCGCATGTATCAAAACATGGATCCGTCACGAGAATCCAAATTTTTTTCTCAAGAACACTTTATGCACACCTTTGCATTGAGTTGGCAAACCGTCATGTATACTCACATAATTCATTCACGCCCATTTTTGCATCCACGTGCCCTTTATCAATAATCGCACAAATTTCATAATTTTTCACTTGTATTAGTCCATAAATCTGGTCTTCGGAGCACCCAGGTTTTTTTCTCAAAATACTTTATGAAGACCTTCATATTCAATTGGAAAACCATGATCACGTGTATTTACAAACATTAATTGTGCCACACAAATTAAGACAAAGAAAGTAGATATATAGATTGTTACACAACATTATGTATGGGTTGTATTAAGGATATCTATTGGAAGATACTTTTATCGTTGGATATACAAATAACACAGAGATTCCATCACAAGCAATACTCATTAGATTTTAATTAGACAACATAAATTACGCAAGAGTTTGATACAAGAAAACTGAACAGTGCACTGGTTATGCAATGCAAAGATAATATCAAGAACACACTGCTTACAACACATGGAACAAAGTCCAGCTTGAGAAATGTGCAACTGTTATACATAAATTAGTAGCAATTCCACAAGCAAATATCAAATACACGCTGACACCATGTAAATTCTGCCAATTACACCAAACTCTCGCCAGAAATCAGGGAAATTTTACCAGGACTACAAACTCTGTGTCTAACATGCATCGTCTTTCTCCTGTCAAAGCTATATTTAAAACATCTCAACAGAAGACTTAAAATGTCACTTCCCCTTTAGAATAATTCAGTGCTCTCTTCAACCGGCAAGTTTAGCCTTGTCAGACCTCACTGAAATCAGACCAATTAGGTACGGATCAACTTGCTTAACCAATGGGCACAAGAATTTTGACAAATGATGCTTCATCGTGGCCTATTATTTGGAGAAGGTAGAGATTCACTGAATTATCAGAAAATCTAAACGAAAAAGGAAGAGGGAGAAGCACTGTACAACTAGTGAAGTCGAGGCCAGAGGGAAATGCTAAGTTCCGAGGGAAAAACAAAAGGAGAGAACATATATAAGAGAATCTTATCTGAAGGCTACATTAATCACACTCAAGATTCTCCAAACGTCCTCTCCTGGATGATCTGCCCAAGTTTCTTGTACACAGCTAGCTGCTCCTCGAATGTAAGGTTCAGTATTATCTACACCATTGCAGATGAACATCAATGAACACTCACAGTTATATTTCATTAAGACTTTTCAGGGTGTTCATGTGAGCTTGAGAAACTTACCTGATCCAAGATCATCTCAATAGACAAATTCTGTGGCACAATAAAGGACTGATGATAGATATATGCAAAAACAGCCATCACCATCTGCAGAAATATAACTCCTTATGAAAAAAAGATACCAGAATCTCGTCCATTCAGATTAGAACTACAAAGTACTACTGCTCAGCAAGGAACATTATGCAAGAGGGAAAGGCGAAGCACAAGAAAGAATAGTAATTCTAGTAATCAATGTCAGAGGTCAAAATCAGTACGCAACATCACCTGGCTATTCCTGCTAAACTATTATTATTTGTCCAGCCCCAGGCAAGGGTAAGAACCTTCTGCCATTTTCACCCTTCAAGTGTTGGTTCTTTCATATTTAGGTTGAGAGATAGATCCATTATGTAATCCGCGTCAACATATTCTATTTGTTTAAAGGGTGGATTATGGTGATGGTACTGAAGCTTTACAACCGTTTAATACATAATGAGTCTACCACGTCTTCCTCTTTATAATCCCTCCCAAAAACTAGCAGAGGCTTCACGATGCAGTTCAACATCATAATAAAAGCGACTTGACACTGGATTTTACAATATCTTTTATCAGTCAGGATATGAAGTGACCAACTAATAATTAGGAGATTGTTTTTTACAGACTTTCCTAATGCCCACATTAGGAGACACGTGGCAATTGGAACAATATGTCATTGCAAGAATTGAAAATCCATCAAGTGTATTAAATGAATGTCAAATTTTCAAACGTATAGTTCAGAAGATGATAGATTGAAGCGAAACAACTGTTCGTCTTTTGATCCATCAAAGGTAAAATTGCATGTTCCAAGATTCCTACCTTTTCTTTGATAGAACTAATTCTTTTTCCTGATTTAACTCAAAGTGTAGAGAATTCCAAGAAATCCATGGAGGACAATTTTATGGCTCAGACATGTAATGTGCCAAAAAGGGCGGGCTCCTAAATATTCCATAATACTTGCCATACAAAAGTTCGGAACCCATATTTAATTTAGCTTCCATTCAGGTTCGAAACGTGTGGCCCAAAGCACCAGATTTTGAAAATAAAGTGTTTGCTATGTGGAACAGGTACGATATTTCTGGCACGCCATCTTTTCACCTTGCTAGCAAATTGAAAATGTTAGGTGTTTGGGAGGGTTGGAGGCAAAAGTTGAGCATTGTGGTGAAAGAAGGGGATTCTAACTCAAAATCCTTTCATAGAGTGGAAGCAGACATGAGGAATAATTTCATTGAGTCTTTGAAGGTGAATGGAGAGGTTTTTGAGGAAAAGTAGGAAGTGAAGGGGCGACATAAATTGTGTGTGGGTGGGGTCAAGGTTGTGGGACCGAATGATTTCACTTTTGCTTTTTCCCAATGGTTTTGGTAGGAAGCATTTACAAGATTATACCCAAGTTACTTACCAATAGATTAAAAAAGGTTCTGGATGAGACAGTGTCCACTTCTCAGAACGCTTTTGTGGAAGGAAGACAGATTTTGAATGCAGCTTTGGTGGCTAATGAAGTGGTTGATTCCAGAAAGAAGAAAGGTGTGCCAGGAATATTACGCAAGTTAGACCTTGACAAAGCCTACGATCATGTGAATTATAATTTTCTGGATTCCATTATGTCGATGATGGGTGTTGGGGACAAATGAAGGAGATGTCAAATTTTGCATTTCCATTGTCAAATTATTTGGGTTGGTGAATGGGAGTCCTTGCGGTTTCTTTGGGGGCTCGAGGGGTTTGAGACAGATTCTAATTGGGTTCAGGTAGTGTCAGACCTTAGGATTAAACTTAGAGAATGTGAGATCACACCGGTGGGAGTAGTAGATAATAATAAGGAGATGGCACAGGTGTTGAATTCTAAAGTGGGTACTCTACTTATATAAGTTTACCTTTGGGTGTTTCCAGTAAAGATCACACAGTGTGGACCATTTTTATTTATTTTTGAGAGTAATCTCACAGTGTGGACTATGGTTATTGAGTAAGCGGAGAAGCGGTTAGCAGGATGGCAAAAGAGGTACTTGTCAAAAGGGGGTAAGAAAGTTTTGATCAAAATCACTCTTTTTAGCATTCCTACCTATTTCATGTCACTTTTGCAGGACCTTGAAAAGACATCAGTGAAACTTTCTATGGGAAACAATGGAAGGAATAGGAAGTTTCATCTAGTGAAATGGAAAGCTATCACATCTCTAAAGGAATGAGGAGGACTTGGAGCAAAAGATCTCAAGGTAATAAATAAAGCCTTGCTTTCTGGAGGGGGGGGGGGAGGGTAGCGGATAAGTATGGGGTCATGGAAGGTGGATGGAGGACAAAAAATATAACAACTTCTTTTGGGTGTGGTGTGTGAACTGTGGAGTACCATGAAGGAATGGGAGGATTGTAGTGGATGTATTTCATTAAAGGCTGGGGACAGAAGTAGAATTAGTTTTTGGGCACATAAAGGTGTGGGGAGAACGAGTTGAAGGAAGACTTTTCTAATAAATATATTGTTGCCTCTCAAAGAGAGTTGACAATCCAAAAAATATACAGGTCTTATGAAGGGGTCATTCACTGGGATTTAAGATTCAGAAGACGTCGGAATTTCACAATTTGGTTGAATTTGTGTATGCGCTGGACACACCAAACAACGTACCAGATGCATGGAGATGGCAGGAGAGCAGACATGGTTAACTTACTATCAGCTTTTTTTTTTGTAAGTGTCTGCTTGTGAAAGGAATATTCCCTACCCACGACTCCAGTTGGATTTCTATAGTTTCGAGAAAGGTATGTTTCTTTATATGGTTGGTGGCGAAGGGTGTGATCATAACAGCGGAAAATTTGAGGAAGATGGGTATTACCTATATCAGGGTGATTTAAGTGCAAGAGTAAGGGTGAACATATAGATCATCTACAATTGCAATAGTAAAGTGGTTAATAGGTTGTGGTGGGTAGCCCTTAACTTGTTTGGGATGCAATGTGTGATGTCAGGCATAGTGAAGTAGGCTTTTCAAAGCTGGACTCATATGAGAGTGAAGAAAGGCCAAGGGCATGAAGAGTTACCCCCTTACCAATCATGTGGGTTATTTGGAAAGAGAGAAATAGGAGAGCTTTTGAAGGACTGAAGAAAGCTTTTTTAAAAATTGTGAAGTAGTCTAACGTGGCTAGTTTCCTTTTGCCTTTTGATGTACTTTTGAGGTCCCCAAGTGTATAGAGGATTAGACCTCTTTATTTGAGAACAATATTATGGTGTAGGTCCTCTTTTTTGGTATATAGCTTGTATACAAGGTTCCCACAATTGTTAATAAATTATTTACCTTGTCAAAAAAAAAAATAACTTACCTGACAATCCATTCTATCTGTCATACCGCCATGTCCAGGTATACTATCACCAAAATCCTACAATAAATAGAACGAAGGAAACCAAATCATTCAGTGAGTATGGTAATAATAAAGGACCTAGTAAGGCATCTAGATATTAAAATAAAAATAGTAAATACTGCACCTTGATCTTGAAGGCTCTCTTAAAGCCACTAGCAAAAAAACCTCCAAAAGGAGCTATAATAGAAGCAAACAAGCCAAGCAATAAAGCATGCCATTGTACAGGTAAAACAGCAATCTCTCTAGAAAGAAACTGCAGAAATAAGAATCAAAGATAACTTCAGTTTATTATGCAATTGGCTGAAAAAAGCGACATTTCTCATGCAGTATGAATCCTTGTTAATCACAAGTATAGGATTAGAAGAATCAAAATTATACCAACCACATTAGTATCTCTTGAACATTATATGCACTATTATCACGGAACTTGATAGTTGAAGAAAACCCAGATCTTTCACAACTTAGTTTTGACAACTTAGAAAGCATTGTGATAAAGGTCACATCCAGAAGTAAATATGATATTAGTAGTCATTTTCACCAATTGAATTAATATATATTTTAAAAGATGAAGTATTCAACCTTACCAGTTTCAAAAAAAAAAAAAAATTAAAAGCACTAGTTAGCAGTTAGCACCCCTAATGGAAACTTACACCTACTTGAGTAATTACTATACTCTTCCTTTTTAAAAATGAATGAGTAATTACTATTCTAAATATTTTAGTTCACCATTTTCGAATTTGTCGATATTCAGTGATCAAGATTAGCTTACAAGTACTTCGATTTTAACAAGTACTTCAGGCTTTTAACCAGAATAAGATAATAGAAGAACAAAGAAGACCATAGTAGATATACGATTAGCGCTCAGGCGGGATGGTCCTGTTGAAGAATTTGATTCATGCAGAGAAAAAAACTTGGTATAGGAGCCTGATGGAAGCAGCAGGGTTGGGTCTGCGAGTGGAACCCCAAAACTCAAATCAACTTCATATCACGGCCAAAAATTTTAGTAGTTTAGTACCTTGTATTGACTATATTTGAAGAATATTCACTTACATCATTTAATTTTTTTCAGAGAAATATTGAGATGAATCTAAATACTCTGGTTACAACAGCATTAAGGTAATACTACACTTGTTCTTGTACAAATCAAAATTATAATGGCCCAACACTTATTTATCTGCCACCTATGATTGTTTTTAAATAACGTGGATCAAAACATTAAAATGCATAGAAGCAGCATTTGTATGCAGATGTAGTTACTGTAACTTTTTGTTAATGCTACTATGTTAGGAACAATAATTAAGAACTGTTCAAGGGGAGCTTTCTCTCCCTGATCAGTTTTCTTTCTTTTACACTGCTCTGTTCAATGGGAGCTTTTTTCCCTTAAATACGTTTAATCTAATATTTTAACTTAATAAAATCTTAACTTATATTATAGGATTTTCCTTGAATACGTTTAATCTATTGTTTTAACTTTAATAAGCTTCAAATAATATTTTAAAACTAAGTTATATTCTTCAAAAAAAGAAATTATCCAAACAACTCACAAAACAAAACAAAAAAAATCAACACAATAAAGGTTTTTTTAGTCCATATCTAAGTTTCTCGGACTGGGGTGCACGTGTCCGATTTGGATGTGGATGTAGAGGTCGGATCCTTCATGATATAATTTTTAAGATTCGGGGATATGGATCCATGTATGGGTACGGTGCGGGGATTCGCCAAAAAATAATTAAATTATCTAAAAATAGAGTTATAAAACTTAAATGTCGAGAACTTCAGGAGAATCCTGGATAGAAGATGATTAAAGGAAAAGGAGTGATATAGCATTTTATATAATAAAAGATATTCAATTTTCTTTAATTTCACCTTAGTTTGTTTGTTGATTATAGAAATCATTAAAACTATCCAGCCTTTCCCCATCGATTTTGGTCAAAGTATCCAAAATCGGTTGACCAAATCGGACACAAATCCCACATCCACACCCATGATGTGTCAACACGGGTGAGGAACCAAAAGTGAAGAGTTCAACCAACTTAGGTCCATACACCATAACTCATGACCATACTTTATTTTAACTTTGCAACGGAAAACCTAGCATAAGGGGTATTCATCAAATGAACTACTCTCCCATAATTACTTTTGAAGGATACTCTTAAATATTTATTAATTATCATATATAGAAACATTGATATTTGTACATTGGTCAAAATTGATTCATAAAAATAGTTTAAACAAAGCACCTTCAACATGAAGGAACTCATCGAGTTATTAATCGAATCTTATAATAGTGTATAGTATATGTAGGCATATTACATAAGCAGACACTCAAACAAGCCCTCTGGCAAGTGTGCGCTCCAACGATATGAGTTGGGTTTTTGGTGCTCGTTGAGACCAAGTTGAGGTGACTAAATGTGCAATCTCAAAGATGTAATGCTTACTTCTCAATAGAGGCCAGGTTTGAGTTATGTTTATGCATGTATGTAAGTGTGCATATACACACTCGTAGTACAAAAAGTACCCCAAACACATCTTATTACAAATTCATATCTAGTGTCTACAACGGTAAAATTGTCTTAGTGTGACCTATAGGTCACAGGTTTGAGCCGTGGAAGCAGCCACTAATGTTTGCATTAGTGCAGTTCATCTACATCACACCATGTGGCCTTCCCCGGACCCCGTTAACGCGGGATGCTTTGTGTAATGGGACTGCCCTTTTTTATATCTAAGTGTCTAGAACAAAAAAATTGAGACAACAGTTCTATTCAATAAAAACTTAGCCACCGCAGAAAAAGGTGCTAGAACTTTACAAGCTTCGAAAAGGTATTAAAACCCCTGCCCAGAACCCTATATATTGCCAAGTGTCAAGAACAAATTCACCAGGAAACACGAAATAAAAGGTGGATGCCTCCTAAAAAGTAAGACATGGCCAAAGCAAATGTACACTCATGCTATAAGATAAAAAGAAAAGCTTCTGCCACAGACAGCTGTTATAGTGACAAGAGCACATACAAACTCAACTTTAAGTTTCCAAAGCTGAAAGAGAACTTACCCATGCAGGAAACCATTCTGGCAAAGTAAAATATTCTGGTTTAAACAGTGGGCCAGGGTCACAATCAAGCCAACCAGTTGATAGGTCCTGCATCACAAAATATGGAAGTTAAGCTTTCAAAACTGAGCAGCTAGTCTCCCAAGCCAATAGAGAAACTTTACCAGAATTACCTTTCTAGGGCATGTCAGCCACTGAAAATGACCAAACATATTCGCAAGCTGAAAAAACAACAGATGATAAGCAAATCTATAAAAAGAGAAAAAAACATATACATTTCTCAAATACTGTTCAGAAGAAAAATCTTTATCATATTTCTATTAACATACATAAAAACTACAATACAATTTTAAGCATGAGAACTTAGATGAGTCTGTCTTGAGAAGGTAGCATAACCACATAAGAGTAGGATTAAAACTACCCCAACTATGCAATCATTCCAAAATGGAGGAAAGACTAATGCACTACACTGGAAGTATAAGTGTATTGCAAATCTGCAATTGCTATTGCCCCAAATAAAAGTTACCAGAAAGGCAGAGATAATGGTTGTAATAGATGCTCCAATGAAGCCTTCCCAAGTTTTCTTAGGGGACAATTTGATCAAAGGAGTTCGTCCAAAGAAGAATCCGAAAAAATAGGCAGCTATATCATTGATCACGATGAGTGAAGCTGGAAGCAGGAACCTGCATAAAGTTAATCTGTGTTTGAAGTTCCATATCTATGTTCAATTTATAGCATGATTAAAATCAAACCAAAATAAAAATATATGTTCCCCCAAAACGAAAAGATGTTCACCAAGGATTTCTACTAGATATATTCACCAAGACGAAAGGGATTTGGATCAGCATCAAAGCAGACCTTTTTTATGACCGCGGTGTCCGGCCATATTTCACACACCTCGACTAATTCCCCAGGATACCTACCACTCCCACCACCAGCAGGTACCAGGTAACTCTGTCCACCAAGGCTAGGACAGATGGGAAAAATCAGCTAGTGTTTTTTTGTCTCCACTGAGTTTTGATCCTCAGGGTTCTCAACCATTTCATTGACTACTAGGCCACACTCTTGGGTGCAAATCAGAGCAGATTTAAATCTCCAAAACATATTAGAGAGAGTAGGAACAGTATGCTAGGGTAGCTACGGTCGGTTAGTTCCTTCTCTATTTGTTGTGGATATAACAACTATATCTCGATCCCACGCAAGTTTGGGCCTGTTATATGAATCTCACTGCCCATGTCGCTCCATTTAAATTCATCCCAAAGCAGTACTACCTATGGTGGATGGAGGAAGAAAAGAAAATCTACGGAACTGAAGGCCCCTTACCAGAAAATTCCCTCAAAAATATTGGCAACAGTGAAAGCCGATTGTGTGAACACCACGATTAGAATCATATGTGTCCATGCGTATTGGCTAAATTGATACTTGTACATCTTCTTCTTCAGTGTTAGAATGAACCACATGAAACCTGATTCCAAAGGAGAGGGAACACTTCAGAAAAAATTCTCAAACAATCAATAGAAGATGTACATAAATTATGACAACCCAAGGCTTGGAAATGACACCGCAGGACAGCAGTACGACATACAACTTGTTACTTTACGCCTTGGATATTGTTAAATTGCGAAATGCTTTTTTTTTTTTTGACAAATTGTGAAATGCTTTTGACATTGAACACTGCATGAATGGACATGCTTCAAACATATAGAACAAACCTGCGATATAGAAGAAATAACACGTGACCATGTGATACTTAACAAATCTACCGACAAGCTTGTATAGGAATTTGTCTAAAGTAACCGTGTTGACAAGTCTTTGGCTTAGCATGCGGCCATATACGAATAGCATTGCTGTGAAGAAAAAGTGCCTGCAAAACAAGTAGGAAGTTAGCAAAGTTGGAACGAATGATCAAGAAAAACATGAGACCATGCCATATGATAACTAGTGTCGAGCTTCAGGATAAAAGTCAACTACAATGTCCAAATGTAAATGACATGGTATGGAACTCAATGATTGCAATTGTGATCGGCTGACTTGGTGCAAAGGCAACAACACATCTGCCTATATAATCTTCAGAGACTGATTATTTGGAGGTCTCATAATGTGAATTACGCAGTTTCATTAGTCGACAAGTCCTAGTTCCACAGGAAATATCTAAGCCGAAACTAAGACCCTATAGCAACAACTCGTCTTTTCCCTGAATGGCCAAAATCTACAAATATAGACGTTGAAGCCTCCACGTTAATTAATACGTGGGACTCCTCACCCGCATCCTGGTTTTTACAAAAAACTACTAAAATTCCATCCCCGAACCCCCTTTATTCCCAAACTCCTCTCCCCTCTGTCACCACACTGTGTGTTCCCTTGGGGGTAATGCAAATGGGAGTATGCCATATGCCCGTAGTTTATGTCATTTCAGCTTCACCCCAGTCCAGGAAGACATTTTGGTGGATGCATGTGTGTAGTTTAGGCCAATGACGACATAAGCTTAAAGATTACAACTACAAGACAGGCCAGAAGCGAATTTTATTCTCGTTGAGATTGGATATAGATGAGAAATCTAAAGTTTGTCAACCTCTGGTACGTTCTAGTGGATAAAAAACTGTGATCTGGGATCAGATCCCTCTTTTTGTTTACATATACAACAGAAAAAGAAAAAAAATTAAGTCCTAGTTTGTTTGTTTTTTGAGAATGGTATCATTGTATTCCATAACATTAAGGGTCTGTAGGTCAAACTCCAAAAGAGTTGCAATTACAGACTTCCTATCAAATCTATAATATGATCTGTATCTTCTATACAAAGCTATTTTCACACAAAAAAAAAAAGGAAAAGATACAATACAATTCCATAAGACTGTGTGTATGGAATTGGACTTATCTTTAAAACATCTTCCATTTCTTTCCACCATATATGACGGTATTAAACTCCACCATCTCTTTTGACTTTACTGGCTCCCCTCCTAATCCAACAGCTCAAGAGATCTGATGTATGTTTTGGCATTGTTCAGCTCATGCTTGTTATGTTCAGGAACAGATTCCATACTAGCTAAGTGAAACACTTTCACTTTGTAGGGATTGTCACTCTTCCAGAAAAGAGTTTCCAATGAATATTTTTTGGACCCTAGCCATCACCTCCAAACCTCTTTTGTATGCATTACTAACTGAAAAAGCTCCATCCTTGTTATGCTTCCACAAGCCCTTGTTTTGTGGCTGTTGGGAATTTGTGATTAGGTTCACCTCGACCTAGTTTTCCTAGTAAAAGTTGTCACCCTTCTCCACCTCCCAGTCATTCTAGTGATCTTCACAATGATATGTCCCATCCCTGTTCTGTCCAGCAATCACAGACTCTAGCATCAGAATTTTCACAGATTAGGAATAGATCTGGGGAAAGGTGAGAGGTTTGATCTATCCAACGTACAAACATGGGCCTAACTCAACTCCAAAAGCTAGCTAATGAAAAGAGTATTTTCCAAGTCCATATAACCAGTCCATTCCCCAACCATTGTGGGACTTTAACCCACTCTAACACAACCATCCTTCCAAACCATTTTTCCCCTTGATAAATATATTTTCTTCCATTAGTGGCCACAAGTTTCTGATTGTCATCCACACCCACACCATATGGTTCAAAGGTATTTTTTATACACCAAAGACATAGCTCAACATATTTTGCTATTATAACCTTCTTCCAAAGAGTTGCCCCCTCCACAGCCACTTCAAATCAACAGGCTCTCATTTTGTAATCTCAGGTTTCTGATCCCCATAACCCCTCTATCTTTCCAGTCTTCCAATTTACCAAGTTGTAATCTTTCTTTTCCTTATTTCCTTGCCATAAGAAGTTCATCCTTAGGTTGTCCAGTTTTTTCACCACTTTGTTAGGATTGGGGATAACGACATCATACAAGTACGCAAAGAATCTAGAACAGAATTGATGAGGATCAATCTTCCACCTAAAGACAGGTATTGTGCCCTCCATCTAGTTAGCTTCTTTTCAGTTTTCACCGAAATACCATCCCATATCTCCAGTGCCTTATGTTTGCTGCCGAAAGGCACGCCCAAGTAGGTGGTAGGCAATTGATCAACTCTGCATCCCAATGTGCCAACCAGTTCCTGAAACTGGGGAACCTCATTTATAGGGAATAGACAGCTTTTTCCCCAATTGACTCTCAGCAGTCAGCCCTGAAACAGTTTCAAGCAAATGGAAGAAACATATGCCTTACATGTGTCATAGATCACCTTTGGAGATCATCATGTATTACTTGTATACTTGTACTGATGATAGAAGCAAGACATCAACTAGGCAAATTACTAGGTATATCTACTTAAATGAATAAGTTACAGGATGTTATATGAGAACCACCAAGGTTGGTCACAAATTACAGGTTCATATTGTACTTCCAATGCTTATTTGCTCATGACTGCTGATCTTTGATATTTGATTCATTTGAGCATTCTTAATTGTCTACTTGTTATTCTATTTGTTTTACATACCATTACATGTTGTATATGTACTGGCGTCCCTACTTTCAAGGGTGTTGCTCTTCCATAAATGAGGGTCAGGTTTACAGGACAGCAGACGTCCTCATTAGGCTAGTTCCCGTTCTCAGTTGATTTAGTGGCGAGCTCTATCTCTATCGGGAGCTATCAGATGACTCCATCTGGAGACTATCATTTTCGCTATATATAAGTTATAATTGGGTATCTCGGAGCCCTGTCCCGACCAATTGACAGTTGTACAGTTATACTCTGTAGAGGCTTCCTAGACATATTGATGTTGTCATATTCTATAGTTTTTTGCACAGTGGGCCCTATAGTATATATGTGTTGACCCTAGTATTTGTTTCGCTGCTTACGAGTATACAACTTTACCATAGGTTATAGGCTTAGCTTATTAATATAGAAAGTGCTCATATGGACCCCTATCCCTCCCATCGGTCTGGAGAATTGACATATTTACTTTGTTGTATCTTCATTACCACTTATTTTTCATGAGCCAAACACCTGAAAGTTCTTTTTTAATAATGCAAGCTGTGAATTGAATGTGTGACCTATGTATACTCTAATACTATGTTAAAGTGTATAACTAACTCATCTAAAAGTTTAAATTGTTAGAGAGGGAAAGCTCACAATACTTCGACTAGGACAGGGTGTTGGCCAATCAAGAACCTCCAAACCCAAAAGATGAATGTAGCGGAGATGAAGATGTTCCAATGAATGTGTGGACATACTATGAGAGATATGTTTAGGAACGAAGTTATACGGGCAAGGTGGGAATGGCCTTTGTGGCAAACAAGAAGAGGGATACAATGGTGAGATGGTTTGGGCATGCGCCAGTTAAGAGAGGTAGAGGTAGACCAAAAAAGAACCGAGGGAGAAAGGTGATTAGATAAGACAAGACACAACTTCAGTTTATTATGAACATGACCCTAGATAGGAAGGTATAGAAGTTGAGGATTAGGGTAGAAATTAGTATAGTCGAGTGTGGTCGCCCATTAGGTGGGAGAGGCAAGGGGCTTGCTTCATATCCTCTTCTCCTTATTAGTGGTAATATTTAGTAATCACGTATTTTCTTATTCTTATATGTGTTTCTACTATATGTTGCTTCATTTTGATTTATATCTTGAAATTTGTAGTCATTTTTTCCTTTCAACCCTTCTCTGAATAACTTATAACTTAGGGTCTATCGGAAACGGTCTCTCTACCCTGCAAAAGTAGGGGTAAGGTCTATATACATCTTACCCTCACAAACCCCACTTGTGTGATTATACAAGGTATGTTGTTGTTGTGTTGTAGTTTATGCACATTCAACAATAGTTAATTTGACATTCCACCAAATAAGTAGAATCAAACACCATATTAGATTAAATGAAATGAACCTCAAAGGCTCAACAGATAATTGATAGTCATAGCATTTATTCGATGTTCTCATGTAAACAGAGCAAGATCCAGTTGCATCTTAGAGTAGCTAATGTCTCCCGACAGTTTCCATATCTTATATTCTTTTGATACGGAAAACACTTTCAGATAAAGAAACTGTTCAGAGGCATTAGCTACTCTAAAGTGCAACTTGCTCTATTATCTACATGACTTAAAACAGAGGCTCACTACTTTCATTGCTCAAACTATTGATAGTTTGAATAGATAAACACAAATATATTCAGATCCAAATGACTCTGCAAAACCTGCACTACACACTTCGATTCCCAGAAAATATTCTAAGTAAGTGGATTTGTTAATCAAAAGCTGGGTATGACTTGAACCAATCCCACTGTCTCCCATAATAAGTAGAATATGCACACTTGATATGGCACATTATTACATGAGAAAGTAAGAAGGAAAGTTCACGTAAATTAATTTTACTCACCAATTCAATAGCCTGAAACCAGGAAGATGCCGGTCTTCATGTGCTCTTCTAAGTAGATTGAACAGCTCTTTTGCCATAAAGATTTGGATGACAACAACCATGGCCCAAATATAAAGATGACCCATGTAAATAATGAAAGCAAAGCCTCCAATCATCCACACGGATGAATATGCACGGATAAGCATTGATTTGTACTTCGACCGATCATTAACAAGCAAATGGTTTCCATTTGCTTTGACAACTTCTGGAGGAACCTGTAATTTTGGGAAGATGGAGAAGAATATTAAGAAAATGTGTACTTAAGTGGAGAAGAGTAGAGAGGTGAACCCATTATCTACCAAGTCTCGAAACTAAAAGATAGAGAATTTCTTGGTTATAAAGAAAATGTTACAGCTAGAAAATTTGGACTTTTTAAACATCTAGAAAATTCCATTCCCAAAAGTTCGCACTATAAAAATCAAACTTTATTTATTTATCATTCCGTTGATTAATGTACTTGTTTATTCTTAAACAAATTGACAAAAACTCATAGTGAAAAAAAAATTAAAATAGCACAAGTCATTAAAGGAAAAAACATGAAAATGTGAAGTCACCTCATTTGATCCTCTGCGACGACGTATCCGTCCTGAAGGTGTTCCCGGGACACCGGAATTGCTATCGGTGTGCATACTTTCTTTATCAAATCCTTAGCCCCTAGCAGTTCAACTTACAAAAAGCACATGAATCCCTAAAACCACCTGAATGTAAAGAAATCATTTTAAAAAATGGAAAGAAAAAAAAAACTTTAGCAGCTGGAAAATGTCGATGAATTCAACATATAATAGAGTATTAGACAAAATAATTAAAACATTCGTATTTAGACTATCTATAAGACTAATTCTAACCACATAAGTATCAAGTAAGCAATACAAAAAGGTCAATATTTCGACATGGCAAATAAAATATCAGACAAAATAATCTGAAACATTTACATTTAGACAATCTATAAGGCTATTTCTTATCATATAAAGTACTATTAAACAAATAAATCAGCCAATACAAATAAGAATTGAAGAATTCTACACAATACAACTGCAACTTATTATAATGAAAAATCCAAAGAGGGACTCAAATTAAAGCTAAAAATAGTTCATGAACCCTAATTAAATGAACTGAAGCACCGTGATACAGAAAAAAGAAACTGAATCTTAAGAAACAAAACAGAAAAGAACATTTTTTTGCATACTCGAAAAATTACGAGTCCCCCCACCCCCACCCACCCCAAAAAAAAAAGTAAAAAGCTAAAATCAGTTAGAAAAGGTTGATGAATTCAACAAAGAAAACAAAAAGAGTACCAGACAATATAATTAAAATCATTTAAATTCAAATTCTCTATAAGGCTACTTGTAATCAATTAGTACTAAAATAAGCAAAGTTTCCAAATACAAATAAGAAAAAACAAATTCCAATTTGAACAACAACAAATGGAGTATCAGACAAAAAAAATCATTTACATCTATACTTATCTATAAGGCTAATTCTGATCATAGAATCAACAACAACATACCCAGTGATTCCCATAGATGGGGTCTGGGAAGGGTAAGCCGGTAGGGCGTATGTGGACCTTTCCTCTACCTTGTAGAGATAGAGAGTTTGTTCCTCGGCTCGCTAATCTAATCATATAACTACTATTAACCTTTCCAATTTGTACACTACATACAAGGACACAATGCATCTTATTACAATGGAAAAGTCCAAAAGGGAGTTCAATTAAAAGTTACGAAACAGAAACACAAAACAACGATTTACACAACGATAACTAAGGCTAGTTGTAATCATATATAATTATTAAATCACATATAAGTATTCAATAAATAAGCAAAGCTCCAAATACAAACAAGAACTGAAAAATTCCTATTTGAACAAAAAAAATTAATCATTTACATTTAAACTATCTATATGGCTAATTGCAACCATAACTACTATTAATAAGCAAAACGTCCAATACATATGAGAATTAAAAAGTTCCAATTTGTACACACAAGGACACAAATGCATTTATTTGTTTTTTCTTTCTTTTTTTGATAAAAAACATGTTCGAACAAGCTTGCACACACCTCAACTAATTCCACAAGATACCCAACATCCCCCGCCAAAACTGGTATTAGGTAACTCTATCGCTAAAACAATTTGGAAAGAAATCACCTAGTTTCTTTTTTTTAATTTCAACAGGAATTTGAAATAAGACCTGGTAATTCTCAATGCATTTCATTGACTAGTAGACCACACCTTGGGTGCCACAAATGCACCTTATTACATTGAAAATTCCAAAAGAGAGTTCAATTAAAAGCTAAAATAGTTTCATAAACCCTAAATTAGATAAACTATAAGCACCGTAATACACAAAAAAAACTGAATCTCAAAAATAGAACAGAAACCAACAATTTACACAACGATAATTAACCAAAAAAAATGCGAAAAAATAAATAGGTTTTCTGGTTCTTCCATTAATACAGTTGTTAAAAAGAGAATTAGAGAGAAAGAGATCGGACCTATTTGCGAAGAGCTCTTCGAGTGAAACTTTGTGAGGAAAGAACAAAAGCGCATCACTTGCTGGCTGCACTTGGAGGCCAAATATTGGGAGATATTAATAAGCAAATAAGAATCAAATTTTTAGAGGACAGAAATTATAAATTAGAATCATGAAAACCACCCAATTTTAATTTTTTTTATTTTTCATTTAAATTATCCAATATATATATTAGGAATAACTTTTTTGGAAATTTCGTTAATTCTTTTCATTTGTTTTGAGATGTTTTTTTTAATTTGAGGGTTTTATATAAACCAATCACATTTACTTTTTAGAATAGGTATAAGATCTGCATATATACACGTTATTATCTCCAAATCACATTTGTGATATTATATTGGGTGTCTGATGTTGTTGTTGTAATTATTTTGGAAATATAGTTGAATTTTTATTTTTTGTATTATTCGAAATTTAACAATTAGTATTTAGGTCTAAATATTAGATATGTTGCTAGCATAAAGTGTCATTTATTTTTAACAAAAAAGCTCTAACTTAATGGTAATTTTTAATCTTAATTTAAAATGAGGGTAAAGATAATTTTTTCCATATTTAAGGTATCGCTAATGATCAATAAGGTTAGTTGACCTCAAGTTTTAGTAAAGATAATAATATTTAAAAAAAGTTATTTATTCAATTTCTAATTAATAAATTATTTAATACTCGATACCTATATCGATAGAAAATAGCACTAACCCTTGGTATAGTGAGTGGAAATTGTACCCTATATTATAGCTTATAAGAAAACATGAACATATTTTTATTATTGAATAAATAGACATGATATAGTAAACCTATCAACTATCAAGCTATTTTTTATGAGACAAGGGACTAAAATTATAATGTTAGAGGATGTTGACATGTTGTATCTCGTATGCATATTTTCAAATAGAGCTCTCTATTAAATAGCAAAGCCCAATACAAGATGCTATTGACATAACATAATATTATATATTAAAATTTAGCAATTTTAAATAGACATATTTTTCTTATTATTATTTTGAGAAATTTTTATGAATAGACATTATATTAAATTTTATTATGCTACATAGTTGTAATTTGCATATTTACGGGTTGTAGCAACAGTTTAAGTTGTCTCACTTGTATAATTTGGGGATATGTTTGCATAATTGAGTTATTTTTGTATAAACTTAAAATAATGAATTTATACAAACACAAACATCTAAATTTTAAATAATTATACAAATTAAATATACAAAATTACATAATACAAAAGCTATATAAATTTCGAATTATATAAATATGTAAATTATACGAATTTAAAACCCCATCCCACATAATTATCACTAAATTTTACTTGCGAATAGTAATTAACTAAAATTATAATTATATTGACTAATAACTAGTTTGTATTTATTTAATTATGTAATTTCCCCAAATTTATTTATTTATTTTTAGAAAGTATCATGTCATATATTGCTTCTTGTCATATTTAAATGTTATCGATAGCTTTCATTTCACGCCGAAAAATTGATTATTTTGATGCATTATATTATTCCCTCCTCTCTTGCATATTTTTTTTATTGTATCTATATATCTTCTTCCTTTTTTCAATATAGGAGAATTTATAATCATATTATTTTAAGTGTATATAATACAAAGCATAAACTTCATTTTAGAAAAATAATTTGTAAATCACATACAAGAAGTTAATTATATTAGAAAAATTCTATGCGATAATTCTATCAAAATAATATACAAAGAATTTTGAATCTGAAAATTCGAGAATCTCCCCTCAACCAACTCGATCATTCTTGAGCGTATAGTGTGTCTTTGCCTTATTAAAAAGTTATTATTATTATTATTCCTTTTTTATTACCCAAAAGTTATATTATTCTCTTCCTTCTTGAATTCTTGTCAAAGGGGCAAACAACACCATGCTTTTCACATTGAAGTGCTTTATTGCGAAGCTTTATGATTTATTATATTGCAATGGCATCTGACTTTTTCCATCGTTACTAAAGCAACATAAATTAAAAGTTACTAATATTAAATTTGTCCACTCATTTAGCATAAGCATACAATTAAGTGAACGAAAACGTGTCTGCTTCAGTCTGAACTCTCTCTTTTATAATAAGAAAATATATATCATAATTAGTTCTTGACTTCATCATGACAATTAATGTAAATGACACATTACTCTGTTCGGATTTTATCCTAGTGATAAAAGTACAACGTACAATACATAAGTCACGCAATGCTCGAATTCGAACCATATGATACAAATAGAATTTTTTGATATTCTTTTTCCTTGTTGGTCACAAGAAGAAAGTAACTTCAAATGTGCTTTGATATAATATAAAACTTATAATATTACATATTAGGTAAGTGCATTTCACATTGTCAAGTGATTCTTATATGCACTTTAAAGATTGTGCTCTCCCACAAATCACATTTTCTTTATAATAGATTCTTTTCTTATAGGAAATAATAAATAACACACTATTCTGGAATGCAACTCATGCAATGGAATAAAGTAAAGTCAAGGCAATATAAGTATTTTAAAGAATTAATGGTCAAAAACAAATATAAACTCATATATTTATTCACAAGTTTTTCATATAGTTCAACTATTCATTGTTATTTACCTATATGTACGATCACTTTCTTTATATTAAAACACGCATTAATGTTAAGTTAATCAAATATGCATATGTTTTTTAGTGAATAATATTTGGTCAACTCAGCATCAAGCTAAGATGTGTTTTAAGTAAGAGAGAGTGATAATTTTTCTTAAATGGCAGGTACGGAAAGGAGAAATGGGGAATCGAACTCTCACATCAAGTAACCAACCAACTAATTAGCTACTAGATTCCCCACAAGAGAGTAATAATTTAAATGTGTAAAAGGAATCATAAATAGGTAACGTATGAAACGAAGAAAAAGATAATAGTCTAGATGAAATTTGGACCACTTATTCTACTTATAATAAATAAATCTCTTTATAGAGTCCATGCTTTTATCATAACTAGGATTTCTTTTCACTAGCAAGGTAGTAATTCTGCCCATTAAGATAGTAATTAATGAAGAGAGTGAAAATCCCCTATGTGTTCGAAACTTCGATGGATAAGGAGTTACTATCAGACTTTTGCCTATTGATGAATTTTAGACACTTAACATAAATTTAATTCACACATCACAGGTTAAAGCCATTTAATTAGAGAGTTACAAAAACTTGAAAAAGTTATAAAGAGGACATGTCATGTTAAAAACGATCGATCAACATGTCACAAATACCACCCTTTTTTCAGCAAACTAAACAATGAATATCGATCGAGCATTACTCCATCATGGTGTACCATATTTAAAAAACAAATTAACTCTAACAAAACTTCAAAATTGTTTCCAATTATTTTAAGATTTTTACTTTAATTATTTATTTTATGTCATGAACTACATCATGCCTATGTCAGCCAAAAACAAAGAGAAAAGTAAAAAAAGTAAAATTAAAGGTACTTACTTATAAATCAGCCCTTTTTCATTATTGCTATACTATATATTGTAACTTTTTCGTTATTTTTTTTTATATATACACCACAAAATCTTTGAAGCTTCTACAAAGATTGTTTTTTTTCTTTTTTTGAGTATTTCATCTGTATTCAAAAATCGTATTGAGACGGACTAATTTAGAGTTATGCTAGAAAATTCATATAATTAAAACACTTCCCATTAATGGTTATTTTGTATTTCATGCATTTTATATTTTAGGCTTAAATTCGAGACAATGAGAAAAGATTTTTTTTTTTTTGGTCTAAATGGCTCTCTTTTCACCTTACAAGAATTTCCATCAACAATAGTTGAACTCATTGAGAAAGAACAGAAAGTACTCAAAGTGTTTGAACAATCAAATTTTCCATTTCAATGATTTGCTTTATACAACAAAGGAATTGCTTTTTCTTCATACACACTCAAGTTGTCTCTCTTCCATAATTCTTTTGAAAGGGAGCCTTGGATAAACTGGTAAATAAAGTTAATTATCGTATAATTAAGAGGTCACGAGTTAGAGCAATGAAAATAGTCTCTTGCATAAATATAAGATAAGGTTACGTACAATGTACCTTTAATTTGTGATCCAATCCTTCCTCAAACCCCGCATATAACGAGAGTTTAGTGCATCGAAGTGCCTTGTTTTTTACTCCATTACCATTAAATTTAAGTTATATATATACAACATTACTATCATTTTAGTGCATACCAACGAATTTATTTGTAATTATCTAATAAGTAATGTGGTCATTTTAATAAATTCCATTAGTATATTCATAATTTATCTTATTTTTTACTCGATCAACAATAAATAAAACTCATTAGCCAAAAAATGTCTAATCATGAAAAGCTAGCCACATTTAATTTGTAAAGGAATTTCTTGCAAATGTGACCCAATACTAGTAGAAAGCTTCAAAAGGGGCTAAACCTTAATGATGAAAAGTCTTAAGATGAGAATAGAGGCACATTCAAGTAAATTCTCTCATCATAATTTAAAAACTTAAAGTTTCACAAGGTAAAGTACCAGAAGCAAATTCAGAATTTTAAAGTACCAGAAGCAAATTCAAAATTTTAAATTTACGCGTTCCAAATTATAATAATCGTATAGCTTCTTGTCCTTTCTTTCTACATGCATCCAAATGAGTATGAAGCACACCAATGGCTTGTTGTCTCTTGTTCTTGTTCTTCTTCTTTAGCTATCAAAACAAGAAAAATATATTGTCATCAATGCAAATATTGAACAAATATAAGGAGCTTACGTACCAATATTTTGTGAGAGAGAAAGAGAGAGTGCATGTATCAGGGACGAAGTTACAGTTCTGCTTCTGATTCGATAATGCTTATCATGACATAACCTTGATGAGTTGAGGGGAATGAAGCCTGGTCCGAGATCATTTATGTGAAGAAAGATATATGGTCACGAACCAGACAACATTCTCCTTAACATGATCTTGTTTAGTTTACTCCTTTTTTTTTTTAAACAGTGACGATTCATATAATTGAACCTAATAAGGCGGACCAAAGACATAACTTTCCTCTTCTCTTTCTTTGGGGAAGGGGTTTTCTTTGAGACTAGAGAGTAGATAAAAAGAGAAATATTGTTTCATGCATAGTTTAGTGTAATTTTAT